ACCTTACTCTTTTTATTTTCCAGGTTTGGCCCGTCCTTCCTGATGTCTGACCCTTTTGCGTGGCTCTCTTGCCCTGTGTCATGGGTAATTCCGTCAGCAGGCCCAGCTGCCTGGGGGAAAGGGGCAAGAAATCCGAGCGCTTTCTCAAGGAATGTTGTATGAAGAAGGAGTCTGTGGTAGACTTCCAAAGTGTGAGGAACAATGTGGAGCCCAGCGTCGCTCCACCCGACAAGAAACCCAATGAGAAAGAACTGAACGTCGCTCCGGCCTCCAGCAGAAGCCATGAGCCTCTGCCCAAGCAGAACAATGCAGATGCCAACGTGCCCAAGGCAGCCATCATGGGTGGATCCCCAAGGTCCACACCGGACCATGTGGGGAATGTGTGGACTCCTCAGAGAGGGACCTTGCAGAGATCTTCTGGGGGAAGCTGGTCCTGGAAGCCACTTGCCACCAGGGAGGTGACAGAAGTCACTGAAGTCACAGAGACCATTGTCACCGAGATAGTGGAGGTGACTCAGTTCCCATCAGGAGAGAAGGGTGGGGAACCCATCGTCACTAGGACAGTGAAAGTGCTGACGGACTATGGCGGGGAGCTCGCTGAGGTTAATATCTATTTCTTAGCCATGGGCCACACTCTCTGGTTTAGTTCTGGCCTTCCAATGACAACTTCTTACCATCAGTAACAACCCAATCCATGGATGTTGTCAGCAAACAGGAATATTGCCTTATCCTACTTTAGAAACTCTTGTTTTTGCTGTGGAGCTGGCAGGACATATCTATCACCCACAATAACTTTTAGAAACGTATAGCTTAGCTCAGCTTGTTCCTTCTAGATATACAGACTGGTAATGTACTAGACTGAAGTTTTAGGGAACTTCTCATAGCTATTCTGTAGACTTGGCACCATGGCTTAAGGGGATGGTGGACAATCATGGAGTGCAGAGTGTCTACTTTCTGTGGGGTTTAAATAAAGTTTATTTGAGGCTATACCAGATTAAACCGCAACGATGGCACGGGGAGTCAACTTTTATATTTCTTTATTTATGATCTACATAAATTAAATAATGAAAGGTACTGCCACTATTGCCTCCAGGTGACACAATTACCTAGAGTACCTTCACCTTCGCTCCCTTATTGGCCGAACTAGCAAGATGCCACTTTGTCACACGGTAAATTTCTGCAGAATCAAGTTAGAGTTGGAATGAGTCCATGAGCTAAAGCAGCAATTAAATGTTTTTAGGCCAATGGTTAGATGTCAGCAATGTCAGTATCCCCAGCGTGACAAGGCCCCAGAGCTAAATCTACCAATTAAGTGCCTTCAAACCCAAGAATAAAAATTGAGAAGATTGAACTTTTACCTGTCCTTAGATCTGTTGGCTTCATTCTTTTTTTTTTTTTTTTAGGCTTTTTTTCTTTATTTTTACCTGTTGATCCTGAAATTAACACAATTCCTGTGTCTGGGTGGCTACACTCACTCCAACATAGCTATGGAAGATGACATGGTTGTCAAACAGGCTGGACTTCACATAAAGGTCTTAAGACCCAGGCCCAAAAGTCGGATGGCATCAGCCAGTTCAGTAGAAACCGGGCGACATTCGACCCATGTGTAGGGCATCTGGCAAGACAGAAGCTGGCCATTCGGCTGGCTTCTGTCAAAGGGGCATGACTGAAAAAGGTCTGCCGACTGTTTCCCAATCAACACCAATGGCTGACCAGAGTGTTCTGGCAGGGGGGCCATCCAACCTTTCAAAACACAATAGCACAGCGGGGGAAATCGCTGGACTAACATTGGATAGTTAGTACAGCGGCTCCTCCTGGGCTGTCTGGTTTTTTTTTCGTTGAATGAAAAAAAACTAGACGTGTGTACGATGTTTTACTACCCATTACATCGGGAGGTGGAGGTACTAGCAGTTTACAGAAGGGAGATAACATTGTTTGTGCTTTCGGTTCAGCTCACGGGAAGTGAGGAGGACGCTTCATTTTTGGCAGGTTCTACGGGTATTTCCTGTACTTGCTGAAAATATACATAGCCTGAAAAAAAGGAAACTAATGCTGTCACCACATCTAAGTACTAGTGAGTTGCAGTATATTACATGTTTGGTTTTTTTTGGAGGTTTAGGTACACTAGATCCAACCCGAAGCTAACCTAATTCCTAACGCTTGGTTAACCCCCAAAATGTAACCAAAAGTATCAGTATAAAAATAATACTTTCCTTTATCAAGATCATATAGAGCTTTCTTGTTTTCTAAAAACAAAACAGTGATCCTGGTACTGGGGCCCTAGAGGTAAGTAATGAGTCCCCGACTCTTCCTGGCTAGACAGATTGATTGTTAAATTTGGACTTTTTTTCTGCTTTCTAGAGGTCTGTGTTGTTCATACATTGAGCTACAAACCAATACAGTATTTCACCTCTAGGGCTCATCCATAGAACTATATCTGAGAACTGTGGACCAAGAAAGGTTCCTGATTTCTCCGTACTGAACATTTCTCAGTATATGATGTTCTAAGAATCAATCACTGATGGGTTCCCATGCACTACAACAAAAAGACATTGAGATTAATAGAAGGTAGTTGGGTGTTCTCTATTCTCCTGTCTGTCCTAGTAGGGTGGTAAGTAGATGAACACGATTCAACCTGCGCAGAATAAAGTAGGAAGCATAACACCAGAGAGTTGAGAGGTCACCAGTCACCCAAACCTGACATCACCTATTTAATGGATTCTGAAGAGTTCACTGGCCTCATGGTTTCCTCTGTCTCTTAGAGACCTTTTTGGGGAGAACATTTCAAGGTCTGAACATTGGGAGACATTGTTAGAAGAGGGTCCTTTTCTTCCTTCTGGATTTATTGTATGTTGTGGAGAATGCAACAGGAGGAGTTGAAAGTCCTCGAGGTGGGCTTGAACCTTTCAAGACCTCATGCCAAGTCATCACCAAACAACTGGGTGGTGGAAAGAGACCCAGGGCATCTGATCACTGGAGTGAGCCGGTGGCTTAAGGCACCGGTTTCTTTCTTTAACTAAAAATGTTATCTTTGAGTGGACTGACAGTAAAAAATAGATGGGTTTAAACAAGTTGATTGGGGATACGGTTGACCATACATAATGCTCGACAGCATTCCATGTTTTCATAGGTATGGCCTCCAGGCCGTGATGCTTCACGCATAATTAAATCAAAGTGGTTTTGGAGTGCTTTATGTAAACGACTTTCATCCCACAATTTCTATTCTATCCTCCATAATATTCTCCTTATCCCAGAACCTCTAATATATCCTCCACCCTCCACAATAATCTCCTATTCCTAGAACCTCTAATATATCTTCCACCCTCCACAATAATCTCCCAATCCTGGAACCTCTAATATATCTTCCACCCTCCACAATAATCTCCCAATCCTGGAACCTCTATTATATCTTCCACCCTCCACAATAATCCCCTAATCCTAGAACCTCTAATATATATTCCACCCTCCACAATAATCTCCCAATCCTAGAACCTCTAATATATCTTCCATCCTCCACAATAATCTCCCAATCCTAGAACCTCTAATATATCTTCCACCCTCCACAATAAATCTCCCAGTCCTAGAACTTCTAATATATCTTGCAGTCTTCACAATAATCTCCTAATCCTAGAACCTCTAATATATCTTCAACCCTCCACAATAATCTCCCAATCCTAGAACCTCTAATATATATTCCACCCTCCACAATAATCTCCCAGTCCTAGAACCTCTAATATATCTTCCACCCTCCACAATAATCTCCCAATCCTAGAACCTCTAATATATATTCCACCCTCCACAATAATCTCCCAGTCCTAGAACCTCTAATATATCTTCCACCCTCCACAATAATCTCCTATTTCCAGAACCTCTAATATATCTTCCACCCTCCACAATAATCTCCTAATCCTAGAACATCTAATATATCTTCCACCCTCCACAATAATCTCCCAGTCCTAGAACCTCTAATATATCTTCCACCCTCCACAATAATCTCCTATTTCCAGAACCTCTAATATATCTTCCACCCTCCACAATAATCTCCTAATCCTAGAACATCTAATATATCTTCCACTGTCCACAATAATCTCTCAATCCTAGAACTTCTGATATACAGTATCTTCCACCCTCCACAATAATCTCCTAATCCCAGAACCTCTAATATATCTTCCACCCTCCACAATAATCTCCTAATCCTAGAACCTCTAATATATCTTCCACCCTCCACAATAATCTTCTAATCCTAGAACCTCTAATATATCTTCCACCCTCCACAATAATCTTCTAATCCTAGAACCTCTAATATATCTTCCACCCTCCACAATAATCTCCCAATCCTAGAACCTCTAATATATATTCCACCCTCCACAATAATCTCCCAGTCCTAGAACTTCTAATATATCTTCCACCCTCCACAATAATCTCCTAATCCTAGAACCTCTAATATATCTTCCACCCTCTACAATAATCTCCCGATCCTAGAACCTCTAATATATCTTCCACCCTCCACAATAATCTCCCAATCCTAGATCCTCTGATATACAGTATATTCCACCCTCCACAATAATCTCCTAATCCTAGAACCTCTAATATATCTTCCACCCTCCACAATAATCTCCCAATTCTAGAACCTCTAATATACAGTATCTTCCACCCTCCACAATAATCTCCTAATCCAAGAACCACTAATATATCTTCCACCCTCCACAATAATCTCCCAGTCCTAGAACCTCTAATATATTTTCCACCCTCCACAATAATCTCCCAATCCTAGATCCTCTGATATACAGTATATTCCACCCTCCACAATAATCTCCCAATCCTAGATCCTCTGATATACAGTATATTTCCACCCTCCACAATAATCTCCTAATCCTAGAACCTCTAATATATCTTCCACCCTCCACAATAAACTGTCCTAATCAGATAACCTCTAGTATACCCTCTGCCCTTCACAATAATCCCCTAATCCCAGATGTATGACTATTGTGCCATTCCTTTCCTAGGTACCAAACAGCCAGGCGGCTCAGACGGATGCGTACAACCGGGTGGGGACAATGGGAAACCTTCAGCAAGACGGTATGTAATGAACCGTGCAATATGTAGCATCAAACGACATACATCACACGGAGGCCTGTTCACCATCCCCATATTTCCATTCCAGTGGAGATAATCCAGCGAGATTAATCTTATATAAATATGAGTTTCCCCATTTATATAGACTCGGCCCCTTTTTCCTTGCCAGAATTTTCCACTGCGAGATCACACCACCCGAAAAACACAACCTGGTATTTTCACCCTCGAAAAGCTGGGAGAGGGAACTTTGATCTCATGGTGGCGTTTTTGTGCTGTTAATTAATTAAGCATCCCAACCATACCAAAGAAATAAAGACAGACACAGTTCTTGTTTTATCCAGCAAACTTTATAACATCCAAGTGAAAGCGAGAACACCAGAAATAAATAAATAAAGTAAAAAAAAAAAAAAAACAGAATCACTGAGTTGGAAAAAGAATCACCCCCCTGGTGTCAGTATTTTGGTTGAACCTCCTTTTGCTTTGATTCCAGCTTTTAGGCTGTTGGGATTTGTCTCTACTAACTTTGCACATCTGGACTTTGCAAATATTTGCCCGCTCTTCTTTCCAGAACTGCTCAAGTTCAGGTAAATTCGATGGTCACCGTTTGTGGATTGCAATCTTCACGTCATTCCACAGATTTTCAATGGGGTTCAAGTCTGGGCTCTGACTAGGCTATGAAAGGACATTCACCTTTTCCTCCTCCAACCACTGTGCTCTAATTCTTGCTGTGTGTTTTGGGTCGTTGTCATGTTGGACGATAAACCTTCTTCCCGTTGACATCTTTCTGGGCGAGGGCAGCAGATGTTCCTCTAGAATGTGACAGGATTTTTCCCCATCCATTTTTCCTTCTATCCTGACAAGTGCTCCAGTCTCTGCTGCATAGAAACCCCCATAAGAGGATATTCCCCGCCTCCCCAATAACAGGATATCCCCCCCCCCATCCATGCTTACTGTAGGAATGGTGGGATTTGGATGGTGAGCTGGAATGGATTTCCACCAGACATATCATTTAGTGTTGAGGCCGGATCAGGGGTGGACTGACAACTCATGGGGCCCCCGGGCAATAGGGGATCATGGAGCCCCTGTGTCCTTGCCCAAACTCAAAAAAGCCTATGAAAAAGGTACCAGGGGCATCTCATGGGGCCCCCCACTTACCCCGGGCCCTCGGGCAGTGCCCGAGTTTCCAAATGGTCAGTCCACCCCTGGGCCGGATCATTCCATTTTAGTCTCATCTGACCAGAACCCCTTTCTCCATGTGACCTCAGAACCTTCAAGGTGCGTTTTGGCAAAGCTCAGTGGTGGCTCCATTTGGCCTTTCTTGAGGAACGGCTTTTTTCCTGCACCCCTTCCATACAAGCCACACTTGTGGAGGATTTGTGATATTGTTGCCACTTGCGCACAATGACCACTTTTGGGCATCAGTTCCTGACACGGCTTCAGAGTTGCTGTAGACCTCTTGCTAGCCTCTCTGACCAGTTTCCTCCTGGCTCTTTCATCCAGTTTGGAGCGACGTCCTGATCCAGGGAGAGTCTGTGTTGTACCAAATACCTTCCACTTCTCAATAATAGACTTCACTCTGCTTCTAGGCGTTGATAAAGCCTTTCAAAATGTTTTTGGATCCATCCCCTGACTTGTGTCTGTCCACAACTTTATGCCGGAGATCTTTTGACAGTGCCTTGCCACCCATAGTTGATTGTTTGCTTCAGTTGCACTAATAGGGACTGAAATGCTCCAGGAAAGCTCTTTTCATGCTGAGCTAATCAAAATAATCACAGTTGAAAGCAGGGGCGGACTGACAACTCATGGGGCACCCGGGCAATAGGAAATCATGGGGTCCCTGTGTCCTTGCCCACACTCAAACCACACCCAAAAAAGCCTATGAAAGGTACCAGGGGCATCTCATGGGACCCCATACTGACCTCGGGCCCTCGGGCAATGCCCGAGTGGCTAAATGGTCAGTCCGCCCCTGGCTGAAAGTCAAATGGCCATTGAGAAGGTGATTAGCTACACCTGAGTGAGGTTAAAAGTCATTTTTAGGAGGGGAGGGAACCTTTTTCCAAGGATTCTGTGTTGTTGTTTTTTTTTTCTTTTTCTTTGTGTTATATCTTTCACTTGGATGTTTTAAGTTATAATGAAGAATAAAACAAAAACTGTGTCTGTCTTCAATTTTAGGCTGCAAAACAACAAAATGTGATTATTTTAAAAGGGCGGTGATTCTTATCTATACCCTTTGTTTATTTTTATATATGCAGCCAGTGTTCATTATTGGAATTAGAGGGTTCCTTCAATGAACCAGAATGAGATTTACCTGGGTTTGTAGTCCAGGTACAAAGAACATGGCTTCCCTGAGCATATGATGATGCCTCTGTGTTTATACTCCCAGCATGCACTTGCCTTGCCGGAGCTGCCGGAGACCCTGGACACCATTCATGGGGTTAGCTGGGTAGGAGATGGAAGAGAGCTGACTGACGCCCAGAAACCTCCATCATCTGAGGCCAAGGTGGTGAAGGCCCAGCTCCAGGAGCAGAAGGTGAGATGGTCCATCCCGAGAACGACGATGTGTCCTTCCCATCCGATCCCATCCAGAGAGAGAGCACGGAACAAGACAGAGGACAGGGAACTGACACAATGGAACCCCTCAAATGTTGTCTTTCCATTATCATTTCTGATTGTGTAGAGCACTGGTTGCCCACCTATGAGCCAAGGGCTGCGTCTGGCCCTTTAATACTGATTATGCAAAGTCAGTAATGGAAGCATTGATCTCTAAAGAGACTAATCACAGCGGTCTCTGGCAGTCTTTTGTAACACTTTCCCAGTCTCTGACAGTCATCTACAGCATGTCATCAAGCACACCTGTATCATGTCTGCAGTCTCTCACCATCCCCCTTGTAATATATCTGCATTCTTTGATCATCTCCTGTATCATGTCTGCAGTCTCTGACCATCTCCTGTATCATGTCTGCAGTCTCTGACCATCTCCTGTATCATGTCTGCAGTCTCTGACCATCTCCTGTATCATGTATCTGCAGTCTCTGACCATCTCCTGTACCATTATCTGCAGTCTCTGACCATCTCTGTAGTATCATGTCTGCAGTCTCTGCCATCTCTATAGTATCATGTCTGCAGTCTCTGGCCATCTCTTGTATCATGTCTGCAGTCCATCTCCTGTTTCTGAGTCCATTACATCTGCAGTCTCTGACCATCTCCTGTATCAAGTCTGCAGTCTCTGACCATCTCCCGTACCATTAGGTCTGCAGTCTCTGACCATCTCCTGTATCATGTCTGCAGTCTCTGACCATCTCCTGTATCATGTCTGCAGTCTCTGACCATCTCTAGTATCATGTCTGCAGTCCCATCTCTAGGCCATCTCTTGTATCCTGTCTGCAGTCTCTGGCCATCTCTTGCATCATGGCAGCAGTCTCTGACATCTTCTGTATCATGTCTGCAGTCTCTGACCATCTCTCCGTATCAGGTCTGCAGTCTCTGACCATCTCCTGTATCATGTCTGCAGTCTCTGACCATCTCCCGTATCATGTCTGCAGTCTCTGACCATCCCCTGTATCATGTCTGCAGTCTCTCTCTGACCATCTCTATTACCATCATGTCTGCAGTCTTCTGACCATCTCCTGTATCATGTCTGCAGTTTCTGGCCATCTCTTGTATCATGTCTGCAGTCTCTGACATGTATCCTGCAGTCTCTGGCCATCTCTTGATCTTGCATCATGTCAGCAGTCTCTGACATCTTCTGTATCATGTCTGCAGTCTCTGACCATCCCCCTGTATCATGTCTGCAGTCTATGACCATCTCCTCTATTCATGTCTGCAGTCTCTGACCAATCTCTTTTATCATGTCTGTAGTCTCTGACCATCTCTTGTATCATGTCTGTAGTCTCTGACCATCTCTTGTATCATGTCTGTAGTCTCTGACCATCTCTTGTATCATGTCTGCAGTCTCTGACCATCTCTTGTATCATGTCTGCAGTCTCTGACATATCTCTTGTATCATGTCTGCAGTCTCTGTCCATCTCTTGTATCATGTCTGTAGTCTCTGACTATCTCCTCTATCATGTCTGCAGTCTCTGACCATCTTCTGTATCATGTCTGCAGTCTCTGACTGACTGAAGTCTCTCTCTAGTATCCTGTCTGTCAGTCTCTGAACCATCTCTTGTATCCTGTTTGCAGTCTCTGACCATCTTCTGTATCATGTCTGCAGTCTCTGACCATCTCTAGTATCCTGTCTGCAGTCTTGATCATCTCCTGTATCATGTCTGCAGTCTCTGACCATCTCTGTATCATGTCTGCAGTCTCTGACCATCTCCTGTATCCTGTCTGCAGTCTCTGACCATCTCATGTAGTATTTCTTCAGTCTCTGACCATGACAGTCCTCTGTTGGTGACATCTCTGACAGTCTGTTGGTGACAACAGCTGAGGCCTCCTGTCTGTAGCAAGCTGACCACCACCTATGTAGAAGACACAATGCTCACATGCGATGAAACTCATATAGAAGCTGACAATCTAAGATCATATATTACATTTTACCAAGCAAAGCTTTTCTGTTTACAACATCCCTGCTCCGGATGCCATTCAACCCTGGAGCCTAGGAGCGGCAGCTTCCATCTGACACTTCACACCCAGGCATCATTATGACACCTGCTGGCACAGTGCCCTCTGACCTTAGTATGCATTGGGTAAGGCAGGGAAGGTGGTATGAGGGCACTTAGTGATCAAGAATTGGTATTGCCTTGTCATCCCTCCTGCCGTCCCTGGTGACCCCCTCCCCCCTTTTATTCTTCACAGCTTCTGCAGCGCCTCTTGCAGGAGAGGAGGCCCCGGATAGAGCGAGTTCTGATGGGTAAGAGATCGCCATCTCAGCCCCTTCCCATAGAGGGCGCCGAGCCGACTGAGCAGAGAGCGCCCCTCCTGGATTTGCAGCATCGGTGGGACAACCTGATCCAGAAGGCTGACGAGAGGTGGGTGAGGGGCTCATAGAGAGCTATCAGGGTCCAAATCTCCCCCACAAGGAGAGTTATCAGGACCTGTATGGACTCTGAACAGAACCACTTTTCCTGTCCCATATGCCGGGTGTAAATCTCGGGTTCTCCTCTTATTCTGTACAATGTATCCCCCCTATGTTGTCATGTTACAATGTATCCCCCCCATGTTGTCATGTTACAATGTATTCCCCCCCCTATGTTGTCATGTTACAATGTATCCCCCCCCCATGTTGTCATGTTACAATGTATCCCCCCCATGTTGTCATGTTACAATGTATCCCCCCTATGTTGTCATGTTACAATGTATCCCCCCCATGTTGTCATGTTACAATGTATCCCCCGCATGTTGTCATGTTACAATGTATCCCCCCCATGTTGTCATGTTACAATGTATCCCCCCCATGTTGTCATGTTACAATGTATCCCCCCCCCCCCCATGTTGTCATGTTACAATGTATCCCCCCCCCATGTTGTCATGTTACAATGTATCCCCCCTATGTTGTCATGTTACAATGTATCCCCCCCCATGTTGTCATGTTACAATGTATCCCCCCCATGTTGTCATGTTACAATGTATCCCCCCCATGTTGTCATGTTACAATGTATCCCCCCCCCTATGTTGTCATGTTACAATGTATCCCCCCCTATGTTGTCATGTTACAATGTATCCCCCCCATGTTGTCATGTTACAATGTATCCCCCCCATGTTGTCATGTTACAATGTATCCCCCCCCATATGTTGTCATGTTACAATGTATCCCCCCCCATGTTGTCATGTTACAATGTATCCCCCCATGTTGTCATGTTACAATGTATCCCCCCCATGTTGTCATGTTACAATGTATCCCCCCTATGTTGTCATGTTACAATGTATCCCCCCCATGTTGTCATGTTACAATGTATCCCCCCCATGTTGTCATGTTACAATGTATCCCCCCCATGTTGTCATGTTACAATGTATCCCCCCTATGTTGTCATGTTACAATGTATCCCCCCCATGTTGTCATGTTACAATGTATCCCCCCCCCCATGTTGTCATGTTACAATGTATCCCCCCCATGTTGTCATGTTACAATGTATCCCCCCCCCATGTTGTCATGTTACAATGTATCCCCCCCCATGTTGTCATGTTACAATGTATCCCCCCATGTTGTCATGTTACAATGTATCCCCCCCCATGTTGTCATGTTACAATGTATCCCCCCCATGTTGTCATGTTACAATGTATCCCCCCTATGTTGTCATGTTACAATGTAACCCCCCCATGTTGTCATGTTACAATGTATCCCCCCCCCATGTTGTAATGTTACAATGTATCCCCCCCCCCATGTTGTCATGTTACAATGTATCCCCCCCATGTTGTCATGTTACAATGTATCCCCCCCATGTTGTCATGTTACAATGTATCCCCCCATGTTGTCATGTTACAATGTATCCCCCCCCATGTTGTCATGTTACAATGTATCCCCCCCCCCCCCATGTTGTCATGTTACAATGTATCCCCCCCCATGTTGTCATGTTACAATGTATCCCCCCCCATGTTGTCATGTTACAATGTAATGTACCCCCCCCATGTTGTCATGTTACAATGTATCCCCCCCCCATGTTGTCATGTTACAATGTATCCCCCCCCCCATGTTGTCATGTTACAATGTATCCCCCCCCCATGTTGTCATGTTACAATGTATTCCTTCTCCTCCCCCTTGAAATGTTCCCCATGTTGTCATGTTACAATGTATCCCCCCCCATGATGTCATGTTACAATGTATCCCCCCCCCATGTTGTCATGTTACAATGTATCCCCCCCCCCCCCCATGTTGTCATGTTACAATGTATTCCTTCTCCTCCCCCTTGAAATGTTCCCCATGTTGTCATGTTACAATGTATCCCCCCCCCCATGTTGTCATGTTACAATGTATCCCCCCCATGTTATCATGTTACAATGTATCCCCCCTATGTTGTCATGTTACAATGTATCCCCCCCATGTTGTCATGTTACAATGTATCCCCCCCCATGTTGTCATGTTACAATGTATCCCCCCCATGTTGTCATCAATGTATCCCCCCCATGTGTCATGTTACAATGTATCCCCCCTATGTTGTCATGTTACAATGTATCCCCCCCATGTTGTCATGTTACAATGTTACAATGTATTTATTGGGATTGGCTGTGATGGACCGACACAAAGTTGCACATAATTGTGAAAAAGGAAAATGAGAAATGGTTTCCAACATTTGTGACCAATAAATCTGTGGAAAGTGTGGTGGCATTTGTATTCGGCCCCCCCCCCCCCGAGTCAATACTTTGTAGGACCAGGGGCGGACTGACCATTTGGAAACTCAGGCACTGCCCGAGGGGCCGGGGTCAGTAGGGGGCCCCATGAGATGCCCCTGGTACCTTTTTCATAGGCTTTTTTGAGTTTGGGCAAGGACACAGGGGCCCCATGATCCCCTATTGCCCGGGGGCCCCATGAGTTGTCAGTCCACCCCTGTGTAGGACCCCCTTTGGCTGCAACTTCCAGCTGCAAGTCTTTTTGGGGATGTCTCTTTGCACATCTAGAGAGGGACATTTCTGCCCATTCTTCTTTGCAGAATCGCTCAAGCTCTGTCAGATTGGATGGAGAGCGTCTGGGAACAGCAATTTTCAGGTCTGGCCACAGATTCTCCATTGGATTTGGGTCTGGACTGTGACTGACTGGGTCATTCTAACACATGAAGATGCTTTGATCTGAACCATTCCATTGTAGCTCTGGCTGGATGTTTCGGGTCGTTGTCCTGCTGGAAGGGGAACCTCCGCCCCGGTCTCAAGTCTTTTGCAGACTCTAACAGGTTTTCTTCTAAGATTGCCCTGTATTTGGCTCCATCCATCTTCCCATCAACTCTGACCAGCTTCCCTGTCCCTGCTGAAGAAAAGCATCCCCACCACACATGATGCTGCCACCACCATGTTTCACAGTGGGGATGGTGTGTTCAGGGTGATGTGCAGTGTTAGTTTTCCCCCACACATAGCGTTTTGTTTTTAGGCCAAAAAGTTGAATTTTGGTCTCCTCTGACCAGAGCCCCTTCTTCCACATGTTTGCTGTGCCCCCCACATGGCTTCTCACAAACTGCAAATGGGACTTCTTATGGCTTTCCTCCAACAATGGCTTCCTTCTTGTCACTCTTCCATAAAGGCCAGATTTGTGGAGTGCACGACTAATAGTTGTCCTGTGGACAGATTCTCCCACCTGATCTGTGGATCTCTGCAGCTCCTCCAGATTTCCCATGGGCCTCTTGGCTGCTTCTCTGATCAATGCTCTCCTTGCCCAGCCTGTCAGTTTAGGTGGACGGCCATGTCTTGGTAGGTTTGCAGTTGTGCCATACTCTTTCCATTTTCGGATGATGGATTGAACAGAGCTCTGTGAGATGGTCAAAGCTTGGGATTTTTTCTTATAACCTAACCCTGCTTTAAACTTCTCCACAACTTTATCCCTGACCCGTCTGGTTTGTTCCTTGGCCTTCATGATGCTGTTTGTTCACTAATGTTCTCTAACAAACCTCTGAGGGCTTCACAGAACAGCTGGATTTATACTAAGATCACATGACACAGAGGGGGACTCTATTTACTAATGAGGTGACTTCTGAAGGCAATTGGTTCCACTAGATTTTAGTTAGGGGTATCAGAGTAAAGGGGGCTGAATACAAATGCTGCCACACATTTCACAGATTTATTTGTAAAAAAAATTTGAAAACCATTTATCATTTTTCTTCACAATTACTGTATGGGCCACTTTGTGTTGGTCTATCACATCAAATCCCAATAAAATACATTTATGTTTTTGGTTGTAACATAACAACATGGGGAACATTTCAAGGGGTGTGAAGACTTTTTCAAGGCACAGTACCACTTCTCCTGTCCCAGATGCCGGGTGTCATTCTCGGTATCTGTCCTTATTCTGTATGGATGGACTCTGCACAGTCCCACTTCTCCTGTCCTGGATGCCGGGTGGAATTCTCAGTATCTGTAGTGGTTATGGCTATCCTCTGTCTTCACAGGCACCGTCAGTTAGAGAGGATCACCCCCGCCGCCCAGAACTTCCAGGATCTCTCTGGACACCTTCTACGATTGGCTGAGTGCCACTGAGAGGCGACTGGCAGAGCTCTGGCGAACCAACAGATCCATGAACCAAATAAAAGACGCCCATATAGAAGTCCAGGTATTTCCTGCTCCGCTAAACACAACATCCGCAACTCCAGAACAGTCGACTGACCATGGGAAACGATTTCAACTTGAACTTGTTCCCCCCCCTCCCCCCATCATGATACTAATTTTATTAAATAAAACCTTTCCATTTTAATTTTCCTATGTTATTTTAGATCCAGTGATGCTATCACTGGGTCTCTGTAATTCTCTATGATGTCACCACTGGGTTTCTGTAATTGTCTATGATGTAATCACTGGGTCTCTGTAATTCTCTATGATGTCACCACTGGGTCTCTGTAATTCTCTATGATGTCACCACTGGGTCTCTGTGCTTCACTGTCGAACACAGGCAGATCTTGGCTGGTGGGAGGGGCCGGCAGGGTGCTGTACATAGCTTCCTGAAAGCATCACAGCACCCAGCCTCAGTACTCTTCTCAGAAGCCCTCAGCTCTGATGCAAGCATCGGGCTGGCTCTTGGGTGGAGCTTTGCAAATATCGAAATGACTTGATGGGCGGGTGTCAGTCTGGAGGAGTGGGCATTTCCTAGGGAGTCTTCATGCAGAGCACCCTATGTAACATCCACATGTGATACTGAGCTTACATAAGTGAAAGAACTGAAATTCAATGAAAGGGGCAGGCCAGAGGCCAGGGGCAGGCAGGATGGGGAGGAAAGTCCTAGATGATGCTGGAAGTTCTACAGCCAGGAATTAAGGCATACTCTGACTTTCTGCAGCTTCTAATGCACATTGTGAGAAGCTCACAGTATGCAGGGACATCGGACTAAGCCATTTCAGTCCAGGACAGGAGCCGGTACACCTGGGTAAGACTGAAGGGAAGGCTGGGGGAGGATTTAACCACTTCCCGTCCGTTTATATACGGCAGTGCAGGGTCGGGTGGATGTTTATAAACGTCCTCCCCGCCCCCTGCTTGTGCACGCTCCCTGGGAGTGCGCAGCACCGCGATTTGGTGCCCGCTGTGTCCTCTGGACACAGTGGAACACCGATCGTCGTACAGGACCTCTGTGCGAGGTCCCGATCATGTGATCACTGATTGGCCAACTAGTGATCACATGCAGAGTAGTAAGCAAGATGCCACTTGTGACATCATTGCTTACTACGTGTGAAATCTGTGAATGATCACAGAGATCACATGGTACAGGGCTATTCACAACAGCCTTGTACCATGTGACAAGCTGTGACCAATCACAGCTCTCACAGTATTTCTCAATGGCTGCAAGAATGCAGACAGAGAGAAGGAGAAATGATTGCTTTTACAGCCTTTATGGGTGTAAAAGCAATCTGTGTAAAAAAAAAAAAAATCTTCATCACCCCCCACAAGTAGTACAGTGTCACCATGGTAACACTGCACTGCTAGGGTGACTATGTAAAAAAAAAAAAAATAATAATAATATAAAAAAAAATAAATGTAAAATTTTTTTAAAAAATTATAATTTTTGGTTATAAACCAATTTGGGTTATTTATTTTCTTTACTAAAAATATAACGGAATGAATTTTGGCCGAGATTTATGATGAAATATTATTTATTTGCAAAATTTTATAAGAAAAACACTTTTTTTTTTCGAAATTTTTGGACTGTTTAATTTATATAGCAAAAAAAAAATAAAAATCCCAGCGGTGAATAAATACCACCAATATAAAGTTTTACCTGTCTCAAAAAAATGCTAAAAAATTCATATGGGTACAGTGTTGCATGACCGCGCAATTGTCATTCAAAGTGTGATAGCACTGAAAGCTGAAAATTGGCCTGGACAGGAAGGGGGGGAAAGTGTCCGGACTGGAAGGGGGGGAAAGTGTCCGGACTGGAAGGGGGGGAAAGTGTCCGGACTGGAAGGGGGGGAAAGTGTCTGGATTGGGGAAAGTGTCCGGACTGGAAGGGGGGGAAAGTGTCCGGACTGGAAGGGGGGGAAAGTGTCTGGGGGGGAAAGTGTCCGGATTGGGGGGGGGAAAGTGTCCGGATTGGAAGGGGGGGAAAGTGTCCGGACTGGAAGGGGGGGAAAGTGTCCGGACTGGAAGGGGGGAAAGTGTCCGGACTGGAAGGGGGGGAAAGTGTCCGGACTGGGGGGGGAAAGTGTCTGGACTGGGGGGGAAAGTGTCCGGACTGGAAGGGGGGAAAGTGTCCGGACTGGAAGGGGGGAAAGTGTCCGGACTGGAAGGGGGGGAAAGTGTCCGGACTGGAAGGGGGGGAAAGTGTCCGGACTGGAAGGGGGAGGAAAGTGACCGGACTGGAAGGGGGGGAAAGTGTCCGGACTGGAAGGGGGGGAAAGTGTCCAGACTGGAAGTGGGGGAAAGTGTCCGGACTGGAAGGGGGGGAAAGTGTCCGGACTAGAAGGGGGGGAAAGTGTCCGGACTGGAAGGGGGGAAAGTGTCCGGACTGGAAGGGGGGAAAGTGTCCAGACTCGAAGGGGGGGGAAAGTGTCCGGACTGGAAGGGGGAGGAAAGTGACCGGACTGGAAGGGGAGAAAGTGTCCGGACTGGAAGGGGGGGAAAGTGTCCGGACTGGAAGTGGGGGAAAGTGTCCGCACTGGAAGGGGGGGAAAGTGTCCGGACTGGAAGGGGGGGAAAGTGTCCGGACTGGAAGGGGGGGAAAGTGTCCGGACGGGAAGGGGGGGAAAGTGTCCGGACGGGAAGGGGGGGAAAGTGTCCGGACTGGAAGGGGGGGAAAGTGTCCGGACTGGAAGGGGGGGAAAGTGTCCGGACTGGAAGGGGGGGAAAGTGTCCGGACTGGAAGGGGGGGAAAGTGTCCGCACTGGAAGGGGGGGAAAGTGTCCTGACTGGAAGGGGGGGAAAGTGTCCGGATTGGAAGGGGGGGGGGAAAGTGTCCGGACTGGAAGGGGGGGGGGAAAGTGTCCGGACTGGAAGGGGGGGAAAGTGTCCGGGACTGGAAGGGGGGGAAAGTGTCCGGACTGGAAGGGGGGGAAAGTGTCCGGACTGGAAGGGGGGGAAAGTGTCCGGACTGGAAGGGGGGGAAAGTGTCCGGACTGGAAGGGGGGGGAGCGTCCCGACTGGAAGGGGGGGGGGAAAGTGTCCGGACTGGAAGGGGGGGAAAGTGTCCGGACTGGAAGGGGGGGGGAAAGTGTCCGGACTGGAAGGGGGGGAAAGTGTCCGGACTGGAAGGGGGGGGGGAAAGTGTCCGGACTGGAAGGGGGGGAAAAGTGTCCGGACTGGAAGGGGGGGAAAGCGTCCGGACTGGAAGGGGGGGAAAGCGTCCGGACTGGAAGGGGGGGAAAGTGTCCGGACTGGAAGGGGGGGGGGGAAAGCGTCCGGACTGGAAGGGGGGGAAAGCGTCCGGACTGGAAGGGGGGGGGGGACTGGAAAAAGCGTCCGGACTGGAAGGGGGGGGGGAAAGTGTCCGGATTGGAAGGGGGGGGGAAAGTGTCCGGACTGGAAGGGGGGGGGGAAAGTGTCCGGACTGGAAGGGGGGGGAAAGTGTCCGGACTGGAAGGGGGGGAAAGTGTCCGGACTGGAAGGGGGGAAAGCGTCCGGACTGGAAGGGGGGGAAAGTGTCCGGACTGGAAGGGGGGGAAAGCGTCCGGACTGGAAGGGGGGGAAAGTGTCCGGACTGGAAGGGGGGGGGAAAGTGTCCGGACTGGAAGGGGGGGGAAAGCGTCCGGACTGGAAGGGGGGGAAAGCGTCCGGACTGGAAGGGGGGGAAAAGTGTCCGGATTGGAAGTGGTTAAGAAACCAGTTGTTGACCTCAGGCTAACCTATTGTATATTCTGTCATTTATATACAGTATACAGAATCTATATGCAGAATTTCAGGCAACGAAACTGTCATGACACATTTACTAATCTTTTCCTCCTTCCAGGACCTGTGCAGGGAAATCCAGAGCAAGCCGGGAGATCTGGAGAAGGTTCTAGAGAAGGGTCAGGTGATCCTGGAACTGATATCAGGTAAATGGACCGACCGGGAGGAAATGTAGACCAGTGTGAAAGCTGAGAGACATAAGAGAGGAATTTTGATTGGCTGCTGGGTTCACCTCCTGAGCCCCGTTGACTTTTCCAGGCAGAAGATACATTCAGGAAGAAGTCAGGGATTCATCCTGCAATCATCAGCAGATGTTTCCCATGATAGCACTGACAGGAAGTGTACAACCAGAGGGTCACTGATTGGAGCAGATGATGTCCAAAGGGGATTCCAGTGTCACTGGACTGCAGAGCTAACAATCTGTGTGTTAGGAAGAACAGAACTGTAAAGAACACAGAATAAGGTTCTACATGGAAAGTGGTAATGTCCCAATGAAGAGAAAAAAAGTTACTTACCGGTAGACAAAATGGCCAAAAGTAACAAAAAAAAAAAAAATACTCTGCTTTGTGGAAAGTTCTTTCTTCAGGTTTTGTCTGGTTTAGTCAATTCTAGTGAAATGATTACAAAAAAAAAATAACAAAAATCACAAATAATCCCCCGTAATGTGTCTAATATTTTTACTTCCTATAATCCCCAGCTCCATCTAGTGGCCATAAATCGGTATTTTCCTGATTGAAGTAATTCGGGAAAATATCTCTTTATGGCCACTAGACAGAGCTGACTATCATAGGAAAAAAACATATTAGACACAATATAGACCCCAAAGTATTTATACATTTGTGATGTTATCTGCCAAATAAAATTGGTTGAGTTATTTCTTCCACTGCAACAAGGGGTGAAACAAACCCTCTTGTGATGGTGCTCAGGCATGTCCTTCAGACACTAGGTGCTGCATTGTGGGATATGAGAGAACTGTGTGTGGTTCCAGCATATTGGGAAGTTTGCATATGATTTGGTGTCAACAGTTGCACATGTGACTGGTGGCCATGGAGGTATGGAGCCACCATGAGATGACTATCTGCAGGAGTGACTAGAAGTCAGGGGTGGACTGACCATTGGGGAACTCAGTGGGGGTCAGTAGGGGGCCCTATGAGATGTCCCTGGTACCTTTCATAGGCTTTTTTGGGTGTGGTTTGAGTGTGGGCAAGGACACAGGGGCCCCATGATCCCCTATTGCCCGGGGGCGCCATGAGTTGTCAGTCCGCCCCTGCTAGAAGTTGTTGGTCACGTTCAACTGGACTTGTCTGTTATGTTGGAGAAGTTTTGTAGCATTTACAAGTCACTTATTTAGTTTCAATCAGTCTCAGGAATATACACTGACTTTTATATCCACACAATGTATAAACCATTCATACCTCTAGCCATCTAAGTCAATGAATTAACACCTATCTTGACTTTGTGACACCAAGGATGGGATGGTGGAACTAGAACAGGAAGGTTCCACAACTTTCATACCTCCCATCCTGTTCTTGGACAATCAACATCTCCACATTTCATGGTGATTGGATGAAGGTGTTGGTGCTCCCTGTGTGGATATAAATGTTGGGGAATCTTCCTGACACAATCAACATCATCACATTCCATGGTGATTGGATGAAGGTGTTGATGCTCCCTGTGTAGATATAAATGTTGGTGGATCTTCCTGACACAATCAACATTTCCACATTCCAAGGTGATTGGATGAAGGTGTTGGTGCTCCCTGTGTGGATATAAATGTTGGGGGATCTTCCTGACACAATCAACATCTCCACATTTCATGGTGATTGAATGAAGGTGTTGGTGCTCCCTGTGTGGATATAAATGTTGGGGGATCTTCCTGACACAATCAACATCTCCACATTTCATGGTGATTGGATGAAGGTGTTGGTGCTCCCTGTGTGGATATAAATGTTGGGGGATCTTCCTGACACAATCAACATCTCCACATTTCATGGTGATTGGATGAAGGTGTTGGTGCTCCCTGTGTGGATATAAATGTTGGGGGATCTTCCTGACACAATCAACATCTCCACATTTCATGGTGATTGGATGAAGGTGTTGATGCTCCCTGTGTGGATATAAATGTTGGGGGATCTTCCTGACACAATCAACATCTCCACATTCCATGGTGATTGGATGAAGGTGTTGGTACTCCCTGTGTGGATATAAATGTTGGGGGATCTTCCTGACACAATCAACATCTCCACATTTCATGGTGCTTGGATGAAGGTGTTGGTGCTCCCTGTGTAGATATACATGTTGGGGGATCTTCCTGTTGGTGGCCGTGGGGGTATGGAGCCACCATGAGATGACTAACTATCTTCGGGAGTGAATAGAAGTTATTGGTCAGATTCAACTGGACTTGTTCTGTAATGGTGAAGTTTTGTAGCATTTTCAAGCCACTTATTTAATTTCAATCAGTCTCAGGAACATACGCCAACAATTATATCCACACAATGTATAAACAATTCAACCCTCTAGCCAGCTAAGTCAATGAATTAACACCTATCTTGACTTTGTGACACCAAGGATGGGATGATGGAACTAGAACAGAAGGGTTCCACAACTTTCATACCTCCCATCCTGTTCTTGGACAATCAACATCTCCACATTCCATGGTGATTGGATGAAGGTGTTGGTGCTCCCTGTGTGGATATAAATGTTGGGGGATCTTCCTGACACAATCAACATCTCCACATTTCATGGTGATTGGATGAAGGTGTTGGTACTCCCTGTGTGGATATAAATGTTGGGGGATCTTCCCGACACAATCAACATCTCCACATTTCATGGTGATTGGATGAAGGTGTTGGTGCTCCCTGTGTGGATATAAATGTTGGTGGATCTTCCTGACACAATCAACATCTCCACATTTCATGGTGATTGGATGAAGGTGTTGGTGCTCCCTGTGTAGATATAAATGTTGGGGGATCTTCCTGACACAATCAACATCTCCACATTTCATGGTGATTGGATGAAGGTGTTGGTGCTCCCTGTGTGGATATAAATGTTGGGGTATCTTCCTGTTGGTGGCCGTGGGGGTATGGAGCCACCATGAGATGACTAACTATCTTCGGGAGTGAATAGAAGTTATTGGTCAGATTCAACTGGACTTGTTCTGTAATGGTGAAGTTTTGTAGCATTTTCAAGCCACTTATTTAATTTCAATCAGTCTCAGGAACATACGCCAACAATTATATCCACACAATGTATAAACAAATTCAACCCTCTAGCCAGCTAAGTCAATGAATTAACACCTATCTTGACTTTGTGACACCAAGGATGGGATGATGGAACTAGAACAGAAGGGTTCCACAACTTTCATACCTCCCATCCTGTTCTTGGACAATCAACATCTCCACATTCCATGGTGATTGGATGAAGGTGTTGGTGCTCCCTGTGTGGATATAAATGTTGGGGGATCTTCCTGTTGGTGGCCGTGGGGGTATGGAGCCACCATGAGATGACTAACTATCTTCAGGAGTGACTAGAAGTTATTGGTCAGATTCAACTGGACTTGTTCTGTAATGTTGGAGAAGTTTTGTAGCATTTGCAAGCATCCTGTTCTTGGACAATCAACATCTCCACATTCCATGGTGATTGGATGAAGGTGTTGGTGCTCCTTGTGTGAATTTAAATGTTGGGGGATCTTCCTGACACTGAATAGAACTGAGTAGCTCAGTCTTAGACAATACAGAACAAGTCCAGTTGAACCTGACCAAGTACTACTAGATTTACCATGACCTGGATGTATGAAATATATGAGAGCCTTCACACACCTACACTCACTGGCCACTTTTTTTTAGGTCCACCTGTTCAATTGCTTGGTAACCCAAATTGCTATCAGCCGATCACATGGCAACAACTCAATCCCTTTAGGCATCTAGATGTGGCGTAGACGACGTGCTGATGTTCAAACCGAGCATCAGAATGGGGAAGAAAGGGGACTTTGAACGTGGCATGGTTGTTGGTGCCAGACGGGCTGGACTGAGCATTTCCAAAACTGCTTAAATACTGACATTTTCACGCACAACCATCTCTTGGATTTACAGAGAATGGTCCGAAAAAAGAGAAGATATCCAATGAGCGGCAGTTGTGTGGAGGAAAATGCCTTGTTGATGTCAGAGGTCAGAGGAGAATGGGCAGACTGGTTCCAGATAATAGAAAGGCAACTCAGACAACCACTCATGACAACCAAGGTATGCAGAATACCATCTCTGAACACACAACACATGGAACCTTGAAGAAGATGGGCTACAGCAGCAGAAGACCACACCGGGTGCCACTCCTGTCAGCTACGAACAGGAAACGGAGGCTACAATTCGCACAGGCTCACCAAAATTGGACACCAGAAGATTGGAAAAACATTGTCTGGTCTGAGGAGTCTCAATTTCCCTAGAGATGGTTGTGCATGAAAATCCCAGTAGATCAGCAATTTTTGAAATACTTAGACCAGCCTGTCTGTCGCCAACAACCATGCCATGTTCAAAGTCACTTAAATCCCCTTTCTTCCCCATTCTGATGCTCAGTTTGAGCTTCAGCAAGTTGTCTTCACCACATCTAGATGCCTAAATGGATTGAGTTGCTGCCATGTGATTGGCTGATTAGTGTGTTACCTAATAAAGTGGCCGGTGAGTGTATCTGCACGAGTAATCTGGTTTGCATCACCTTGTCACAGGCTCTTTTTAAAGAGGTGTGCTCTGTGTTAGTGGGGTTTTGTTTTGGGGGGATGCTCTATGTTATAGAGGTGCAATCTATAATTGAGGAGTGTTCAGGTTGCTCTTGGTTAGGGGTTATTATTGAGTGGTGGGATCTCATATCTTCCATGTAACAACTTTTAGGAGAAGAATCTCAGCTTTGCCAAGAAAAGATGGATGCTCTGCGGGTCCGGTATATTATCGTAGCTCAGAGCGCTGGTGATATGCTCCAGCGAACAGAACAAACATTGCAGGCCACAGAACACCTGGACCCTTCCCAGGAGGACATTTCCTTGTGGCTGGGCCGTATGGAGAAGGTGGCGTCTTCTGCGAGTGGGGAAGGTGATGGAGAACGCAGCATGCTGAGCAACAGCGACAAGGAAAAGGTGGGTGACCATTAACTAGTAAGGGGGGTTCACCTTCCCGTTATGACTGTCCTGACTTTCTCCATCTTGGTTTTAGCTGGATCAGGTTGTATTGACCGAGTTATCTCATCTTCGAAACGCTGAGCGACGCCTGGAGGAGCTGAACCGAGTCACGCTGGATGTGGAGACCCTACAGGCGCAGATGAGAGATCATAAGGTGAGGAAGGTGGGCAGGCCTGGGACGAGTCTGCAGGGAAGTTGTTACAGGATTATAGGGGGGAAACATCATCTTCTATGTACATGCTTGGACCAAAGCAATGGCTTTTTCTCTCCCTCTGACAGCTGCTGGCGGTGGATGTTCTACAACACTGTGGCATCACTGAAAGGCTCTTGGGTATCTCCGACATTCTTCTCACTCTGTGCCCGAGGGCCACCCAGGAGAGGCTGCAGGTGAGGAAGGTGTAAATTATTATTATTATAATACAGGATTTTTTGTGCAGAGCTTTACAATATAAAGGGGGACAGTACAATTACTATACAGCTCAATACAGAAGACATAGGAGGGCCCCACTCATGGAGCTTACAATCTAAAGGGAGATGGGACAAAAGGTAACAGCTGCAGAGGATGATCTGATAGAGGTGGCTCAAGTATGGCTTTTTAGGTGGAGGTGTTATAGGCTTTCCTGAATAAATGAGTTTTTATTGGGTAGGGAGTTCCAGAGGATGGGAGAGGTTCTGGAAAAGACCTGGAGGCCAACATGGGAGGAGGTAACAAGGGAGCTAGAGAGAAAGATGTCTTGGAAGGAGTGGAGAGGACAATTTGGGTGATATCTGCAGATAAGGTTGGTGATATAGCGGGGGGTGATGTTATGGATGTAAATACCCAGAATCTCCATTCTTCCCACCTTTGTTCCATCTGGTCTTTTCCAATAATATTAAGGTTATAGTGTATTTTGAAAGGACCGTATTTAAAGCCAACTCTTACCCCATTTTATGTCTACCATGTGGCACAGACTGGCACAGCCCTCAGCAATGTTCTTAAGGGATGAATGTCAACACGGCAATTTTTGCCTCTTCCTATCTTCCTCATCGTGGAGATCCCCATGACATAATTGGCCATATATGACGTGGTTGGCTTGGTGGCAGGTTTTTCCTCTGTCAATGGACATCTGGCATCATGATTGGGTCCACAGACCCTCTCAAGCACCGGGACAGGGCTGTGGGGAAGAGGCCTTTGTCCTAATCAATAGAGTGCTTTGCCAGGGGGGTCCCCCCATGGCAGGATACTTTTCACCTTCCCCCCTTTGTTGGAGGCATGTGGCCAGTTATGGTTCAGGAGGGGGTCTAGGATAAGGCTCTGTTGTAGATGAATGTTATTTCAAGATTCTACAGAAGCCTTGTATTTTTATGAATGAATACAAGGCTATCTCTGATTGGTGTAGATCATGATGTCATCCACTCACCTCTCATCCAATCAAAGTGTTTTTCACAAGAAGATGTTTTCTGACATTACATTGTGTGATTGATTTGGATGGGAATAACACTTCATGAAATTTGTCTTGTTTGTGCCCCCCTGCCCCCCGCAGGCATCTCTAGAGTCCCTGAAGGATAAGTGTCCCCAGATAGCAGCCCAGGTGACCTCCTCGCCTGCTGCCCTGGAGCACACCCTCGCCATGCTTGCCCAGTTTTCAGAAGCCGAGGAGGAGCTACTGCCCTGGATAGAAGAGACAGAGTCTGACCTTCCGCAAAGATCTCCAAACTGCGGCCTCTCTGGAGATTTCAGGGAGCAGCAAGAGAGACTGCAGGTGAGAGCGAGACCCCTGATGTACAGTATGGGGTGATGTTCATGGGTGCAATATACAATCTGCCGTTTCCTGGGAGGATGACTCCTACAATATACAACCTGTCCTTCCTGGAAGGGTAACCCTTACAACATACAACCTGCCCATTCCCAGGATCCATTTCCCCAACTGTACACCCAGAGCCTCTGGTTTATAGACCGGATACATCCTAAATATAGAGCCATTTATCCAACTGTCCACCCAGAGCCTCTGGTTTATAGACCGGATACATCCTAAATATAGAGCCATTTATCCAACTGTCCATCCAGAGCCTCTGGTTTATAGACCGGATACGTCCTAAATATAGAGCCATTTATCCAACTGTCCACCCAGAGCCTCTGGTTTATAGACCGGATACATCCTAAATATAGAGCCATTTATCCAACTGTCCACCCAGAGCCTCTGGTTTATAGACCGGATACGTCCTAAATATAGAGCCATTTATCCAACTGTCCATCCAGAGCCTCTGGTTTATAGACCGGATACGTCCTAAATATAGAGCCATTTATCCAACTGTCCATCCAGAGCCTCTGGTTTATAGACCGGATAAATCCTAAATATAGAGCCATTTATCCAACTGTCCATCCAGAGCCTCTGGTTTATAGACCGGATACATCCTAAATATAGAACCATATATCCAACTGTCCATCCAGAGCCTCTGGTTTATAGACCGGATACATCCTAAATTTAGAACCATTTATCCAACTGTCCATCCAGAGCCTCTGGTTTATAGACCGGATACATCCTAAATATAGAGCCATTTATCCAACTGTCCACCCAGAGCCTCTGGTTTATAGACCGGATACATCGTAAATATAGAGCCATTTATCCAACTGTCCATCCAGAGCCTCTGGTTTATAGACCGGATACGTCCTAAATATAGAGCCATTTATCCAACTGTCCATCCAGAGCCTCTGGTTTATAGACTGGATACATCCTAAATATAGAACCATTTATCCAACCGTCCATCCAGAGCCTCTGGTTTATAGACTGGATACATCGTAAATATAGAGCCATTTATCCAACTGTCCATCCAGAGCCTCTGGTTTATAGACTGGATACATCGTAAATATAGAGCCATTTATCCAACTGTCCATCCAGAGCCTCTGGTTTATAGACCGGATACATCCTAAATATAGAGCCATTTATCCAACGGTATACCCATAGTTGTTGGTTTATAGACTGAATACATCCAAAACATAGAGCCATTTACTTGTGTTTGTTGGTCATTGTACCAGGCTCTGCGGGAGGTGGTTGCTGAACATAAACCGCTTGTCACCAAACTACACCGAGTCGCCTGTAAGCTGTCTGAGTTGTGTCCAGAGGAGAGTTCTGTATTCCAGCAGAGATTTGAGAATGCAGAAAAGCGGTATTGTGCCATTCGGGAGGCTGTCCGCCAAGCAGCTGCTGTCCTTGAGGATACCGTTCCCCGATACAGCCAGGTCAGTTGTCTGTGCAGTTTTCTTCATTTTCTGCAATAATCTCCCAACACCAACCAAAAACCTAATTCTTTCCACAACTGTCTGGTATGTCTGACTTGTGTTCTACCTATCTAATGTGTGGTTCTCCATAGCCATAAAGTAAGCAGCCAAGTTTTGTACCCTTCCCTATAGATCAGCGAGAGAATAGATATGATGTCGGAGAGCTTGGAGCGGCTCAGGGACCGGATGCAGATCTCTACATCTGTGCGCGGGGAGCCCTCTCGGATTCGGGAACAGCTGCAAGAAAACTCTCAAGTTCAAGCTGAGCTGGAGAAACTGGGAGTCGCTGTGGAGAACATCAGCAAACAGGGCAGTGAGCTGGCTTCCAGCCTTCCAGATGATGCTAAAGAGTCACAAGGTATTTATTCTCTCGATAAGAGGTTTTCAAATGCAAGGCCTTTGCTTCCCTTCTTCTGGACCTTCAGCCAGCTGCAGATTCCCTAATGTCCCACAATGCCTCCTACTGTAGCTCCCATAGTGCTCCTCAACCTTCCATTTGGGCCTGTAGTGCCCTTCAGTCTCCCACAGTGCCCCTAGATGCCCACAGCACCCACCCACCCACCCAACCTCCTACAGTGCCACTCATCACCTTGCAGTTCCCCCTAGTTTGCTGCAGAGCCTCCAGTTCCCCCATAAAAAAACAATTATGTTTTACTACCCAAGCCTGCATATCATAACTTGTAGGCTTATACCTCTAAGAGCTTGGAGGAGCTCATTTGCAGCTTTCTCTTAATTTTTTTTTTTTTTTTTCCAGCGCCTGGCCTCCATACATTTAAGGCAGAAGAGCAGGCAGAAAGCACCTGTATAACCACATGCCGCCCAGCCACTGTAGAAACACGGTGGCAGGGTGGCACGGCTGAGAAAAACCACGTTTTAAAACCTTTCCCGCCAATCACGGCCGCGGATGTCAGTCGTCGGGTCACAGCCGGTCGTTACCGGCTGTGTCCCGGTGATTAGCGGCAATCACTGACAGAGAGCAGGGCTGCAATAGCTCTGCTCTCTGTCAGTTCCCTGACAGCTCCTGACATGCTGAGCCAGAGAGAAGAGGTTATCTCTCCTGATCAGCTGTCCCCTGTGCAGTACACACCCCGCCCCCTAGTAAAACACTCCCCTCACACAGATAACCCTTTCAGTAAATAATAAAGTTAACCCCTTAATCCCCAGTGCCATTAGTACAGTGTCAGTGGTTTTTTTTGCACTGATCACTGTATTGGTGTCACTGGGGTTGTCAGTGACCCCAAGTCAGTTCCCCCCCCCCAGTGTCAGAATGTTTGCCGCAGTCCTGCCATAAGTCACTGATCGCCGCCATTATTAGTATAAAAAAAAATTAAAAATCCCAGTATCTTTCCCGCCATTTGTAAACGCTATAACTTTCACGTAAACCAATTAATTTACACATATTGGGGTTTTTTTTCAGCAAAGACATGTCACAGAATACATTTTGGCAGAAATTTATGACTAAATTTGATTTTTTAATTTTTTTTTACTGGACATGTTTTATAGTAAAAAGTCCAAAATATTGTTTTTTTTTTTTCCTCAAAATTGTCAGCCTTTTTTTTTATAGCGCAAAAATAAAAACCGCACAGGCGATCAAATACCACCGAAGGAAAGCTCTATTTGTGTGAAAAAAAAATTATGTAAATTTCATTTATGTACCGTATTTCATGACCGCGCAATTGTCCGTTAAACTAGCGCAGCGCTGTATAGCAGAAAAATGGCGTAAATTGCAGTATCTATACCATCGTTTGTAGACGCTATAACTGTCACACAAAGCAATCAATATACACTCATTGGGATTTTTTTACCAAAAACATGGAGCAGAATACATTTTGGCCTAAATTTATAACTAACTTTGAGTTTACTATATATTTTTTATAGCTGAAAGTAAAAAATATTGTTTTTCTTCAAAATTTTTGGTATTTTTTTGTTTATAGTGTGAAAAATAAAAAGCGCAGAGGTGATCAAATACCACCAAAAGAAAGCTCTATTTGTGTGAAAAAAAGGACATATATTTCATTTGGGTGCAGCACTGCATGACCGCGCAATTATCAGTTGAATTAGTGCAGCGCCGAGTAGCAAAAAGAGGCGTGGTCATTAAGGGGGGTAAATCCTCAGGAGGTCAAGTGGTTAAATACTTGACTCTAAACCTAACTGTAACCTCCAACCTCTCATCCTCAGTCAAGATCTGCTTCCCAATCTCCAGTGAATCCAACCCTAACCCTCAACCAACTGCTGTTTCCTATCTCTCATTCTAACGCTTGACTTACCTCTATCGTCTAACCCTTTACCTAGACCCTTGAATGTATCCCCAGCCCCCAATTGTAGCACGATTCCTAATCTAACCCTAAAATGCAACCTCTCATTTTAAAGATTTACACCTGCTCCTGATTTCTAACCCTCAAACAAAACCTAAACATTTCTAACCAAATTCTTAGCACAAAACTGTTGCACCGGCACAACCATAATTCTAACCATAAACTAGGCATTTTTGGTAAGTTTGTAGCCTTCAGTCAACTTTTGACTGCAAATGTCTACTAGTTTCTAATAACTAGAGATGAGCGAATTTTTCAAAAATTCGATTCGCCTGATTCGCCGAATTTTCCGAAAAAATTCGATTCGATTCGAATTTATTCGCTGCGAATTTTACTTATAAAAAGGGTTTCTAGGCTTCAGAGAGCCTTTATATTAGTGCAGAACACTGTACCTTTAATTTAAATGCCCTTGGAGTCTGCTGGGGAAGAGAAATAATACTGTCAGTCAGTATGACATGCAGATGAGTGCCGTCGATCTTAGAATCACCGCACACTTCACTCATTTGGGCAGTCACGGGGCCAAAGAAGAAGAAGGAGAAGAAGAAGAATGAAAAGAATGAAAAGAAGAAGAAGAAGAAGAAGAATGAAAAGAATGAGAAGAAGAAGAAGAAGAAGAAGAATGAAAAGAATGAAAAGAAGAATGAAAAGAATGAAAAGAATGAGAAGAAGAATGAAAAGAATGAAAAGAAGAATGAAAAGAATGAAAAGAAGAATGAAAATAAGAAGAAGAATGAAAAGAAGAATGAAAAGAAGAATGAAAAGAAGAAGAAGAATGAAAAGAAGAATGAAAAGAAGAATGAAAATAAGAAGAAGAATGAAAAGAAGAATGAAAAGAATGAAAAGAAGAATGAAAATAAGAAGAAGAATGAAAATAAGAATGAAAAGAATGAAAAGAAGAATGAAAAGAATGAAAAGAAGAATGAAAATAAGAAGAAGAATGAAAAGAAGAATGAAAAGAATGAAAAGAAGAATGAAAATAAGAAGAAGAATGAAAAGAAGAATGAAAAGAATGAAAAGAAGAATGAAAAGAATGAAAAGAAGAATGAAAAGAAGAAGAAGAATGAAAAGAAGAATGAAAAGAAGAATGAAAAAGAAGAAGAATGAAAATAAGAAGAAGAATGAAAAGAAGAATGAAAAGAATGAAAAGAAGAATCAAAATAAGAAGAAGAATGAAAAGAATGAAAAGAAGAATGAAAATAAGAAGAAGAATGAAAAGAAGAATGAAAAGAATGAAAAGAAGAATGAAAATAAGAAGAAGAATGAAAAGAATGAAAAGAAGAATGAAAATAATGAAAAGAAGAATGAAAAGAATGACAAGAACAATGAAAAGAAGAATGAAAATAAGAAGAAGAATGAAAAGAAGAATGAAAAGAATGAAAAGAATGAAAAGAAGAATGAAAATAAGAAGAAGAATGAAAAGAAGAATGAAAAGAATGAAAAGAAGAATGAAAATAAGAAGAAGAATGAAAAGAATGAAAAGAAGAATGAAAATAATGAAAAGAAGAATGAAAAGAATGACAAGAACAATGAAAAGAAGAATGAAAATAAGAAGAAGAATGAAAAGAAGAATGAAAAGAATGAAAAGAATGAAAAGAAGAATGAAAATAAGAAGAATGAAAAGAAGAATGAAAAGAATGAAAAGAAGAATGAAAATAAGAAGAAGAATGAAAAGAATGAAAAGAAGAATGAAAATAATGAAAAGAAGAATGAAAAGAATGACAAGAACAATGAAAAGAAGAATGAAAATAAGAAGAAGAATGAAAAGAAGAATGAAAATAATGAAAAGAAGAATGAAAAGAAGAATAATTCCAGTAAAGCAAAAAGTGTTTCTGCAGAGTTCCTCTATTTCTGACAGTTCTCTGACAGTTCTTTCACATTTACAGCGATTGAAACATTGTATCTATTTGTTTCCTAATAAAAACATCTGTATCCTAAATGGAAACAAATAGATACAATGTTTCAACCGCTGGAAATGTGAAAGAACTGTCAGACAGCTGTCAGAAATAGCGGAGCTCTCTGCAGGGACATTTTTGCCGGCTGTAGAAGGGATGAAAACGGCCGATCAGGAAAAATTCGATTCGACCATCCGAAGTTGGCAAAAATTCGGATTCGATGCGAATCGAATTTTTCCTGAAATTCGAAACGAATTCCACTTCGCCTGATTCGATTCGCTCATCTCTACTAATAACCAAATGACCTACAATGGGGTGGCTATCCATCAAAATCATTTTAGTGACAGTCAAAAAATCAGGACCGTCCATGCCATGTACACTCACTGGCCACTTTATTAGGTCCACTTTCCTAGTTCCAGGCTGGACTTCCTTTTGCCTTCAGAACTGCCTTCATTCTCCTTGGCAAATATTCAACAAGCTGTTGGAAACATTCCTCAGAGATTTTGGCCCATATTGACTTGATAGCATCACGCAGTTGCTGTAGATTTGTGGGCTGCACATCTATGAAGCGAATCTCCCGTTCCTCCACATCCCAAAGGTACTCTATTGGACTGAGATCTGGTGACTGTGAAGATCATTGGAGTGCAGTGATCTCATTGTCATGTTCAAGAAACCAGTGTGAGATGATTCGAGCTTTGTGACATAATGCATTATCCTGCTGGAAGGAGCCATCAGAAGATGAGGACACTGACACACGGTGTGGTCTTCTGCTGCTGTAGCCCATCTGCTTCAAGGTTCGATATGTTGTGCGCTCAGAGATGATATTGCATACCTTGGTCATAATGAGTGATTATGTGAGTTACTGTTGCCTTTTTGTCATCTCCAACCTGTCTGCCTATTCTCCTCTGGCCTTTGACATCAACAAGGCATTTTTCGTCCACACAACTTACGCTCACTGGATATTTTCTCTTTTGCGGACCATTCTTTGTAAACCCTAGAGATGGTTGTGTGTGAAAATCCCAGTAAATTAGCAGTTTTTGAAATACTCAGACCAGCCCGACTGGAACCAACAGCCATGCCACATTCAAAGTCACCTAAATCCCCTGTCTTCCCCATTCTGATGCTCGGTTTGAACTTCAGCAAGTTGTCTAGAT